GACTAAGAATGAGATGTTCTCCTCCAGTCCTGCTTTTGTGCCTGGCCTGTTTGTTGGAAAAAGAGTACCTCGTTGTCTTGCTTATTTCCTTTTAAAGGAGGTGGGATTGGAAGATTTGGTTGAACAGAGTTGGAATATTCACTGCGGAAGAACGTCCAGCTGCCTCATAGCATACCTCACTTATTAGTTCAGCATGTCTCTGTAAACATCTGAAAGCTTAGTATCAGGATAAACATGAATGTCTTAATTCACTATGTGTTAATATATATTTAAGATTATAATGTAAGAACATGTAAAATGGACATTGATTTTAATATGGTTTAAATTGAAATGCCAAATGAAGTTTTAAAGTTCACAGGACTTTGTAAACATTCTTGGTGAGTAGTTAGATTTAAAGCTTTAACCTTATAAAATTGGATTTCTAAGAGTGTCCCTCCCAACTGAATTTGAAAAATGAACTTAATATTCTTTTTTAACTTCCTCTAGTGCCTTAGATTTTATTTCGTTTCCTGCTGCTTGATATTAAAGGTCTGTGCAGCATGGTAGGAAGCAGAGTATGCAAGGGGCACAGTCACTGTGTTCTGTGGAGTTACTGAAACTAGAACAGAAGCATCAGTTAACATGTGGAAATGACACTGTGAAATAAGAATAGTGGGTAACAGCCAGCCTGACTTCAAGGGCAGAGCTGCTTCGAAGCTCCAACTCATGAGTTGGGCCCAAGCTGTGTTAGTGTTAAACCCCGGGTTGTAACTACTTGTTACAACTTTGTGTTGCACTGGAGTAAAATGCCCTTTTTACATCTGTTTTGTTGTTTTACGCTGTGAAAATGTGAGTCTTGCTGATAATTGTTTATTGTGGTGCTGTAGAGGTTTGCATACTTTGTCATCTTGACTCCTTTGTGTTGGGATGAGAGTTCTTTGTCCAGTGTTGCATTGTGTGGCCTTCTAACAGGCAGTGTGAATCCTCTCTGTGGGCTCTGGATGATGTCTTATGAATGGCAGCTGTAGCCTTCCTCACAAATATTACTATTGCTTGGTGTCTCTCTGTAGATTAGCATGTTGATTGAACAACTAGAAGATAGCTGACCATCCCTTCCATCAGCTGTGGGGAATGAAGGAGCAGAGTAACACAAGCCTCTTGTTAGAATGGTCTGATAGGTCGTCATCTGTACCCTTAGGAGCAGCAGGTGGAGGTTCACAGTACTTAAAAATTGTGCAGAACATCCTGTGACAGCACTTAACTGAGAATTTGTCTGTCTTGAGCTTGGTGTTTTGAGTAAAACCCCTGCTTCAGCAGCAGTTAACTTTTGATTGAGAGAAAGCCTGAGGATTTCAATCGTCTCGCCTTCAGACTATTGAATTGCTATGCCTCATTTCACCAAAACTTTTTGCATTCTGGCAGGCTTTTGCATGCCTGTTATATTACTATGATAAACACTGAATAAGGTTTTAAGAATTACTCTCTGAGATGGAAATAATATACCTCCAGTTTTCTTCTTTAAAAAATAATGCAAGTACTGTACAAAAAAAAGTAAAAAAAAAAAGGTACAAAAAAAATGTTTATAGAAGCTCACTTTCCCCCCAAAAATTACTTGATGAACTAGAACTCCAAGTAAGGATTGTGATGAAGCAGATCCTTAGGCAGGAGGAATGCTAGGTTATAATACTCTCTCTTTGATGTAAGTACAGTTTTTTTCCTAAGTACTTGCTTAACAGTTCTAATTGAAAGCTAGTGTTGAGGCATTTTGTACTACTTAATCTTGAATTTCTTCTATTCCTTGGTTCTCATCTTTTTTTGACACAGGAACTTGATCGTGTCCTGGTACTCAAAAGACACACACACTGACTTCTGCCCAGTCATTTAACCATATGTTTTTATAAAGCCTCAAATTGAGGCTTGTTTTCTGCAGTGTCCTTAAGTGCTTTGCTTTTCCAGCTAAATACATCTGAAAATACCACTGGACTCGTTGACTGTGCTCGTTGCCTCTGTTGCATTGCTGCTTGTGATCGACAGAGCTTATTCAGAAGGTTAAATGGGGAAGAGAACAAGTGAGTTTTTGTTGGTTGGGGTCTCTTGGGTGCCTGGTGAGTGCTGACACAGGAGGAGGAGGACTGGAAGAACAAGTCTAAGCTTTCTGATGTAATTTGAAATTAAACTGACCTAACAGTAATGTTTAGCCTGACCTTAAGGGTTTTTCATGGGAAGTTCTGCTGACGTAGCAACTTGCTGTCACCAAAATGGGATGTTCTTGTTGTTCTGCTCCATTCTTGATTGGAACTCCTCTTAGTTCCCTGCCATTAGTGTGTGCTAAGGCCAGATGTGAACTGAATAACTTGCTGATAGAGGGGAAAAACTTCAGTTTTCTGCTCTTCTGCAGTTTGGCTTTATTGTCTTGTGGAAATAGCCTGTGGGAAGTCAGTGGATAGAAAGCATCAGTGTGGTCTCCCTAAAACTTGGAACATTTTAGAGTCTATGTACTGTTATATAAACTATATGTAAGTTCAGTTTAGATGATTTGCATAGATAAGTTTTATTTTTTTTTGTGTCTTCAGAGTCTGAACATCTGTCAGAAGATGAGATAAATGCATAAAATTTGGAGTAGTCATCTATTGGCTTTACTTCCTTTGCTGTTGAAGGTGAATGAAAAAGATGTAACTGATCAACATTCTATAGCTGCAAGTGTGTTTATGTATATAAATGTGTATTTATGCTGCTCGTTTCAATCTGTAAATCTTGAAAGTAGGAGCAGCAACGAAAAAGTTTGACTTCTGAAAATATTCATGCAATTTGTGTGAGAATACAATGTTCTCGTAGCACAAACGAGCTGTTAGAAGAATTCCTTGGTGGAAAAATTGTCGAGTATTGACTTTTTAAATGTACCCTGGTCATCTTTATGTAGCTAAAGCCTCCAATTACTGTGAGTAGAATTGTCCAATAAAAAAAAAAAGGGGGAAACAAAAGAGCTTGTGTGGTCAACTAACTGGGATGTTTTTCCAGTTTGCTTTGTTACCTTCCCAGAAGTCTGAGCAGTTTTTGTAAGTCCACTTGTAGGGCTTTTCTATGCTAAGTTTGTTGGAGTTACGTACAACTGATTGTTATGCTGAAGTTTAGTACAGGTTAAGATTCACTAGATTTAAATATTGCAAAATGCTGATTTCTGAACGCAAGTGTGTTTCTGTTTACATAAATGACATGACAGAATAGATATATCCTGTACATTCTGGAATACATTGCTGAAATGTAACTTGTGAGCCTTATAAATAATGTAGAAAACAATAGTCAAATACTTTTTAAGAACCACTTCACCTTATACTTGAATGTAGCAGTAGCAAGTGGAGACAAACTTTGGGCAGATTTCTGTGCATTTCAGTTAGTGTGCAAATAGTTGCCCTCTCTTCAGTGTCTGACACAACAATGTTAGTTAAGAGGCATGACAAGACTAGACAAAATATACTTGCATTACTTCTGAATTAGTCATGGCAGATACTCTCTATATGACATGCATTCAGATTTTTTTTGAGTGTTCAGGCTAATTTTTGTCCCATCACCAGCCCTTAGCGACTGGCATGTCAGCAATCTTGGTCTAAAGTTTTGGCTTAGTTTTTTATTCGTGTAGATTAAGGTGTTCATCCTGTTGATGTTAGTCAGTAGTTTTATACTGAAGGAATCCGTAGCTGACTCTTTAAGTCACTTTTTTGGGTGTCTTTGTGGACTCAGTTATGGTTTGAACAATGAAAAATCAATTGATGGAAAATGGAAGTCTTTTAACAATGGACTCATACATAAAGGCACATAAAGACTTCTGTCTTGAATACATGGCTTGTCTTTTGTGTGAACTTGGTGGGTGAAAAGGCGGTTCATATCTCAGGTTGAATGACCCCTTCATACCTATGAAAATGGGACTACTAAAATTTAGTCTTGAATCATGTTCCATGGGGTGAACATCCTCAGTACCAGCCTGAGTACTGATTCTGTAACTGGCGAGAGAACTGGAGCATCTGCAATGACTCTATTAAAACTTAAGGAAAAAGAAGTAGTGTGAATCAAGACTTTGGTTCTTTTTCATCATGTTAGTTTGCTTCAAGAGAACTAGGGTGAAGTTTCTGGAGCATCTGTTTGGCAAAAGAAATAATGAACCAGTGATTGATAGAACTGTTTTGTCCTGATGGATTTCCCTTTTTGAAAGGAGCATGGTGTAAAATGCTGAGCTCAGAACATAGTTGCTTCTGTGGAAGGTATTTTAGGTATGAAGTGGAAATGCACTGAATCTCATGCAAACACTTGACTGTGCCCACTCTTGCATATTTGCTGTGTGAGGGAAGATCTAGTGTGAAGACATCACACTGCAGGGTAGCAGAAAGATTGCATATGTATGATGGTACATGTCTTTGTTAAGAAGTAGGATAGGGAAGTTAAAATTGAGTTCTTAGATTGGTTGTCATATGGAGTAGTTTGTGGGGGTTTGATAGGGGTTCTCTTGTTTGGTTTTTAATTGTAGTTACTGGTATGGTAAGTGGTAGAAGTTGCACTCATGGATTTTTCTTGAATTAAGCTTTATTAAGAGTTCTGTCTTTTGAAAACAGTAACAAGGGCAGTCATTTAACTTCAGTTTTTACCTGATGCTCTGGATCAGTAAGCAGACTGCTACAGTACCATTGTCTGGTTATTGCTTTTTTCAGTAAATCTGAATACACACAATGCTCATATCTAGTTAAATTTCCACAAGACTGTTACACCAGTTACACAGTTGTCAGATTGTTTTTATAGGAAGTTGTGTATTGGTAATAGTATTCTCTAAAAAATGGTCAGTCTATGCCTAGCTTTGATGTTTTTGCTTGAAGCATGCTTCTGTGGTGTTTCCACACTGCTGTAAATCAGTTATTCAGAAGAAAGTGGGAATTGTCTTTTAAAAAGCCAAGCTAATTACTGAAGGAGGCTTAATGTGAAGGCTCGGAGACATAATCTTCTTGTGTCCCAACTAACAATTGCTTTGTTTTTAGGTGCCTTAGCTGGACCAGTTGTTGATCCACATGTGACAGCAGTTTGGGGGAAGAAGGTTGCACTGAAATGCATAATTGATGTAAATGAAACAATAACACAAGTTTCTTGGGAGAAGATATATGGGAAAAGTTCACAGACTATTGCTGTTCATCATCCTGAATATGGAATATCTGTTCAAGGAGAATACCAAGGAAGAGTGGCATTTAAAAACTACTCGCTTACTGATGCAACAATCATTTTAAAAAATGTAAGCTTTTCTGATGCAGGAGAGTATATTTGCAAAGCAGTTACATTCCCACTTGGAAATACACAGTCATCAACAACTGTAACAGTACTGGGTAAGTCAACTTCTTTATGAAAGAAGGTGAAGTTCTGCAGACTTACTAATAAGTTTTGTTTTACCTTTTAACACAAAGAATATGCAAAATATGTATTTGCTGGTCTTCTATTACAGGTATCTTGTTTTTCTTACTAATGTCATTGAGAAGTCTTCTTTTAGGTCTTGCTTGTTTAGAACTTGCTCGTTGATTGTCTAGATGTTAAAGATAAAATAACCAGTTCCTATTTAAGTGTTGTGCCAATACAAACATTTAATGGCTTTACAACTTTGACTGGGCAATGCTGATACCATGGGCTTGTGTGTGTGTGCTGAGAAGCTGCTGAATGCTGCTTTAGCTACCACGGTGGGTAAATTCCCTCATAAATTCCCTCAGATAGTGCTGTGAGTAGTCACCAGTTTTCAGAAAAAAAAAAGGTATTGTTTAAAACCTGCTGATGACCAATTGTCTCAGTGAAATAATCCATCGTCTGTGATGAGGTCAGTGTTCTAAGAGAGGTGGCAGATGCTCCATACCTAGAAACATTCAGGGTCGAGTTGGATGTGACTCTGAGCAACCTGATATAAGTGAAGGGGGATTGGACTAGATGGCCTTTAAAAGGTCCCCTCCAGCTCAAATTATTCTATAAATGTGTTGCTAACATGGTAACTTAATGTAGCTGCTTGGGGCTGGTGATGTAAACTGCTCTTTGCATAGTATAAATGTAAAGCAAAACTGTCTAGTTGACTGCTGGGAACTGTGGGACGAAAGAGGCAACTTAAGCTCTTGACTGGTTGTGGGTGGTCATAATGCAAAGCTTTCATAAACTTGGGCTTTCACTTATGCTAATTTAGTCTCTCTTGTTGAGGGTTGTGAGTATTGCTGTCATAAGGAATTACTACTGAAGCACAGGAAGACTTAGGTGGTAGTGCAGTGTGAGGTAAAATGATTACCCTGAAACTTGAAAACCTATTATTGACTTGCCCTCTCCTTATAGTAGTATTCCTTCTTGTAGTAGAGAAAGGTACTTCTGTATCTACTGCAAGTAGTCGTGGTAATTTCTACATCTGAGGTGGTCCTCAATGACTGGTTTTGTGAACAGATAGTAGAGTACTCAATGAGATTAATCAGATGGCTGTTGCACAGTATGTAAACTGGTTTTCACCACAAGGTGGGGCAAAATAAACACATCAAAGCAACTGGCTTAACCCAGTTTGAAACAAGTAACTTGACCAAAATTCTAGGTGATGTACAAAACATGTAGTTTTATGACTCTCTTTTCCATCTCTCTTCCATCTGTACTGCAAGTGGCTGTGGTTATTGTAGCAGTCTTTTGACTTCAGGTTTCAGCTATTGTACTTTACCAATATACATGGGAGGTTCTTAATGTTCTGCCTTTTCTAGTCAGTTCCCAAGATTTTTTTTTCAGATCACATTACTAGTTGTGTCCATTTTGTCCTTGAAATTTCAGATTTATGGAGAACCTGAGGATGCACTTGGAAAGCAAATGTATTTCCTATGTATTTATTCTTCTGCATTTGAAAATGTGGAAGGGCCACAATTTGCTTGATTAGATATATATTATAAAAAATTGCAGTTGTAATGGAGTAGGACAAGTATTTGTCAGGCATACAGTGCTTCTGATCATAGATTGTTTTTCATAGTTGATGCAGATGGTTACCATTGCTGTTAAGCCTCTCAGTGACTAGATATCAACCTCTGAATTGCAAAACCCAGCTATTATTTGCAAAGATGCTTTTCCATCCTAGTTAGCAGCAGCTTGGTTTGCATGTACAGCTTGATAGCCCACCCTCGGTTGGGCTTACACTGGCCACAGAACTTACATGTTTCCTGTCCTTCTGGAAGCCTTTTACTACACTGAAATGTAGACTTAAAGAGTAAGAATACTGGGGAAGTAATGATTTTTAGAATATGCATGTAAATGAATAAGTTGTGAGCTTTGCTGGCCCAAGCTCAGCAGAGTCATAAGGCATGGAATAGCTGTAATCGAAATTTAAAAGTTGATGTAACTTTAAAATCCAGCTTTAGTCTGACTGCATTTTCCCACTGGTCTAAAAAACTCTCCCTTAAGTGAGGAGAGAAAAGTTCCTGTCCTAGGGCCGAAACTGTTTCCAAGCCAAGCAGCACTGCCCTTTTTCCTAGTCCCTAATCTGTTCCTATTTAGCAAAGAATTAGTTACCTTCCCATATGTAGTGGACATACTTCATCATGTAGTAGGTGCTTCTACACTGTAAGACAGAGACACTGAAGACAAATGGAAGAAAAAAATAACTACAAGAGAAAATGCCCTTTGTTTTGCCACAGTGTACTGATCACCATATTTAGAACTTCTCTTATGCTTCTTAAGCGTAACAAACTTTCCACATTTGGTGACTTTGCTTGCACCCAGTTTTCTTTGTTTAGTGCCCCATGCTGTCTTAAAGAAAATGCATTTTAAAACAAGAGGTTAAGACAGTAAAAATACGAAAATGCTTTTAGGGTCAAGCAGGTATATTGAACTTGTCTACAATGTTGTTTCTTCAAACTTAACTGCGTTAAACTAGAGCAAAAAAATCACAAATAGTTTTGTGGCATGCTGTTTTTTAAAAGACACTGACCAAATGGGCCAAACTGGTGTCTTGAGGCAGAAGAGACTGATTGTGACAGGTCAGCTTGCACAGCTGACATAATTTTTATGTTGCCAAGTTGAGTGCTGTACGTGACTGTTTTAAATACTTGGTTTGGCTTGACTCTGCTGTCTTGCCAAGTTCGATTTCTCAGCATGGATATCGATAAAGGAGGTCTTGTTCTTCTGCAGCCTGGCTCTTACCAATGCTGCAAGTGAACAATGAGCTGTGCAGGTGAATGTCAAAGGTGTAAGTCTGTCACCATGAATAGATCCCAGACACTCTCATGTAGAAATTCTTAAAATTAGCAATCAGAAGAAGGTGCGTGTCAGACAGTATAGAAACTGGATCCTCTCAGATACTTCTAATAAAGTAATGATGTTTAAAAAGTGCCTGAGATATACATATTAAGTACCACACAATATTCTGGGTCAAGAAAAAGTATCAAGTAGATAACAAAGTTGTCTGGTCTGACTGGTCTTATAATGAACAAACAAAAAAAACCCCAAAACTACAAAACCAAAACAACCTAAAGTCAATAATTAAGGATTAATTATCCAACAGGATAAGGTACACAGAAATATAAAGCTGCTGGTTTTGAAGGGAGAGAAAATAAAGGCTAGAAATACTGTTTTGGAAAGAAGTTATTCAAGTAAATATCAGTTGCAATGAAGAAGAAACATTCCCAGTGTCATGCTGTTGCCAAGGAATTAGTGAATTTAATGGCAAGAGGAAATAATCTTGTTTGTGTTGCAATCATTCCAATTTTGTCCAGACCTCCTGTGCACAGTGGCAGAAGAAAAGTTTTAAAACTAACAGCAACAGCTGAAAAAGGCTTATGAAATATTTAAAATCAAGAAGAAACTTTGAGGCCTGGAAACTTAATGCAGTAGGATTTAAAGCTCTTTCTTGTTTGAATGCTTTGTTTTGGTTTTCTTTGAATTGTAAGGACTTGATCTGTGAGAGGTCCATGTTGAACATAAGATGAAGGTAGAGTAAGTAGGGTTAAATCAGGTAATGGTCACGAGTCAGTATGTGCAATTTAGGTGAGACTTTAAATATCTTTATAACACAAATGTAATTCATACCATAATGTTGCTTTAGATTTGTGTGACTATTCTTCTAATTTATGTGAATGAAATGATTGGTGGGCAGTGACCTCTGTCCATTCAATCAGTGTATCTACTCAGCTGATGATTTAAAGGCAGGGAGGAAACCACCACTGCTCTTGAACTCTTACACTGTGGAAGCAGGACTCTTCTGCTTTTGGATCTCTGTGGGATTGGTGGCTTCCTTTCCCACACAAAGCATTTCACCATCTTTTTCATTTGACCTGAACAGAGCATAATGTTTCTACTGAATGGGTGAAGCAGCTTCTCTAATGCTCTCCCAGCTGCCTTCATGTGTCCACCACCACCACTGTGAGCAATGAAAGTCCTGTAGGACATGTTTCAGTATGATTCAGGTGGCACACTGAATGCTCCTGGGATAAAAATGGACTGCTGCAAGAGTTGGTAGTTGTAGAAGTTACACTTTGCAAAAAAAAAAAGAAGAAAACTATCACAAACCCTTCCAAACCCCTTCTTTTGGGTAATCCTTTATCCAAATGGAAAGTGGTATAACTGTTTCCCATTGAAAGAGGTGAGGTACCAATGGCCCCTTGTCATTATGGATTCATTTGCCAGATACTTCTCTAAATCCATGAATGAAACATTTAGAGAGACTGTAGAATATATATATATATATGAGATATGTATACATGTAGGATATATGTAATGTGTAAAATAACTAGCTGGGTTTCTGCTGGTTTTGCTACAGTTGCTGGGACAAATGATAATTCTGAATGATAAATTATAGAAATAAGGATCCTAACTGCAGTTTCTTCTGCTTTTTAGTATTTGGCTATTTAGTTATCTTGTAGTTGGTGTGTAGTCCAAGAATCATAATTTATGGGAAGATGTGACAGTAGAAGCCTAAACACTTGTGAAATATAAAAAAAACCTAAAGCACTGAAACACATTGGGTTGAGAATAAGTATTTTATGGAGTTGAGTAGTTTTGAATAGTTCAACTTTGTGTCTTATTTACAAGTGTAAAACTAAGTATTACACAATGAACTCAAACGAGCTTATCTCACAAATTTTTGGTACCACTTGAGAAATAGGCTTTTTTCCTAATAATGATTTTAGCAGAACGTGGGCTTTTTTTAATTAGTCTATCCTGCTTTCTGGCTACTGTCACTTAATACTTGTAGACTTTTTTTTTTTCTAAAAGAAGAGAACTGAATAGTCTGCTTTAGATCTGGAAATCTCTGCTACCTTAGTTAAGAGTTCTTGTTTACTTATGTGTCCCTTTACAAAGAGGTGGAAGAAAAATTCTGCAGCTAGGTACTTTTTTTTCTAATCAAAGAAATAGAATATATGAAACTTTATTTCCAGCTGAAATTCTTTGATTCATTGCTGGCATGAAACGCTACTGATAGTTGCTTATTTAATTGATTTCACTGTACAGAAAACTCAGGCAGGGAGTGATACAGCAAAAATTAATATCTTTATAAAATTCTAAATGTAAATTTGAGTGTTTACGTCTGCCTTTTATTAATACTACAGTGAAAAAGTTACAGCTAGTGATTTGGGGAGAACAAGCAGGGAAACCAAACTGTGGGTGAAATAACAAAGCTGTGTACTGTCAGGTTCTCCATATTAGGTTTTAAAGGCCTTTTTTTTTTTTTTTCCAGATGATAGAATGCTCCAGGCTTATTGCAGAAAGCTCTAGTTATTGCTAGTGTTGGAGAGCAGGGAATCAGATTTGAAAGAAGCTCCATTAGAGATGCTTCAGATATAGGAGAGTGAGTGTAGAACTTGGCATGAAACCCCTGCTGTTGGTTTATTTACAGTAAGGTCACTAACAAATCACAGAGGGTAAGCATTCAGAGAAACAAAGTAGAAAATAATTTGCTCTCAGTATTGGCCCAAAAAACCTTCAATTTCACGGTGATTTATATTCTTTAAGCTCTTCCAATCATAGAACAGAAAAGACATTTTTATAAGGTTATCCGTTTAGTAGCTGCCTTTCCCTTTAGTGTAATTGAGCAAATAATAAACTACTTTCTTCAGACATGAGCAGTGTTAGATTGAGCAGAAAACAGTCACAGACTGATCCTTGCACTGAATTCACTCCAGCTGAAAGAAAATATTTGATAGCCAGTTATCTTTGGAAGGTATGGGTAGTTGGAGAAGTATCTTGCCAGATGTGGTGATCTCTGCTCTATTTCATTTCAAGTCGTGTGCGTGGCTCAACTTCAACTTCTGGGAAAGAAATTCCATGAACTAAATTTTTCCTTCTTGTCCTGAAAGGCACAGAAGTTGCAAGACTTGTCTTTGCTTTGTGATTAGTGAGTGCTGGTCCACTGAGGTGGATTCTGAAGAATTATGGTATGTAGGGATGACCTGCCCTAGAGGACTCCCAGCAGCCTGATAAGAGCAAGAGACAAACATTATGTAATAGGCTGCTACTCTACTGCAAAACCTGTATCTTACAATATTGCTGACACAAATGGGCTATTCTAAAAAAGCACAACCTTGGTTTGTGTCTGAAGCACCAGATAGTATTTCTGGCTTAGACTGCAACAGGGCTGAAAAAAACCCTGTTAAACGAAAAAGAAAATGTTTCAAATCTTTTCAGTCTACAGCCCTCAGCAGTAAACTTGTACATAAGGAACTAACCTTCCTTTTATAGTGAAGTGTGTTGCCTAAATCTGCAAAATTTTGGGGTGGGCAGTGGTTTTACAAGGAGGTCACATCCTCCCATGTGTCTTGGGTGTAGTACTGAGTTCAAATTTTTTACTTTTATAGGGATTCATTCACAAAAATGTATTTTTGTGAATAGGCAGAATTTTATTAATAATTAAAAACAATTTCTTTGTGTATCAAAACCATGTAAGTTTTATCTAAAATTACATGTATTTGCACATACACAGTAGATTCTATATTCAATGTGTGGTGTGTGTATATAGAATAATGCTTTTTTGGAGGTTGAGTGTCCTTTGCAGCATGGAAGTCATTTATATTGTACTGATGAACAAAAGCTTAAACTCTTAATGTTGGGTGTTAAAACACTGAGGTAGCTTTGAAATGACATAAACTGGCAGTATAGATGAATACTTGAATGCTTGAAAAGGCAGCAGAATCTAAGCTTTTTGAAAAGAAATTGCAGTGTAGTTTCAACTTAATATTTTAAGCTGTCTGTTGTCAGACACTACAACTGGAGCACTGTAGTTGGCGTTTTGGACCTATCCACACTGGAATTCCCTGTCAGTGCATTAAATGTAGTGAATGAACAGCGCTGAACTTGGATGAGCGGACAAAGGTGAATAGGGTCAGCAGGCAAAATCTTCATAAAGCAATCACCTCTGAGCTTATTTCTGGGATATCTGATTAGCCTAGGCTTTTGCAAATGGATTAGATTTTGTTTGACTCTTACACAGTGACAGTTTCAAAGATGTGGAGTGTTTCTTGTCTAAATTTGCTTTTTCTCCCCTCTTTAGTTGAACCCGTTGTGAGCTTAACGAAAGGACCAAACCCTCTAATAGACGGTGCAAACGAGACAGTAGCAGCCACTTGTACAGCAGCCACTGGAAAACCTGCTGCACAGATTGACTGGGAAGGAGACCTTGGTGACAAAAAAACCACCTCTACTCCGTTTCCAAATGAAACAGTGACAGTTGTAAGCCAGTACGTGATTATCCCCACACGGTTTGCAAGAGGAAGACACATAACTTGTGTTGTGAGGCACCCGGCTTTGGAAAAGGAGATCCGATACCCTTATGTGTTGGACATACAGTGTAAGTATTCTGTAAGGTAGTTGCTGCTTGGTGTGTCTCTTACAACCACCCTCTTAATCAGTGTGTACCTTCCACAGGAAGGAGATGAGCACTTTCTGCTTCAGGAAAATGAAGGAAGTGAAAACTCTACAGAAATCTAAGCTGTGATTGAGGCAGGTCAGGCAGGAGTAGAAACCTGGGGTCTCTGTTTTGCCAATGAAGTGATGAAGCTAAAATACTGTTATGTTTGTTTCTGTTGTTTGTTTGGGATATTGAATCATGGGTAAACATTATTATTCGTGTTTAAAAATAAAATTCAAAGATTACTGACAAGATAACAAACTCAGTTGATCTGTGAGCTCTTTATAGTGTCTTAATTTCAGCAATAGTGAAGAGAATTGTAATGAAGATTCATGTTTGAGATGACAAGTTGAAAGTAGACCCTATGGTCAGTAAGTTATTTTCAGATGAATCACTAAGCTTTGTCCACTCCAATTAGCATAAGAAAACAAGAACATAATACATACATTCTTCACATTTGATATTCAGCTTCAGGTTGCTCATATAATTCAAATGTGTGCCAGCCTTGTTTAACAAATGTGTGGCTTTAAAATACATGAATATGTGGTGAGATGGCTTACAGTGCTGCTTACCTAAAACCAGTTAAGACAAACTTTAGTCATGTGACCCTTTTTGTTGTTGTTGTTGTTAGACAATGCATATGTGACCAAAACCAACTATTTTCAAGTTGTTCCTTTATTATCCTGTCTCAGCTGTGTGCTGCTTTAAAGTTCCTAAATCATAGAAGTCTGTCAGTTCAATTAGAAGAAATGTAGTGGCTGGAAAAAGTAGACTTGCTATTTTTGTTTGGCTAGAATCTCATTTGGGTTTGTTTTTATTCCGTTTAGTAAAGAATAACTTATTTTACCATAAAATAGTGTTTAGTGTTACTTTATTTTACCATTCTTGAAGTTTTAGGTTGAAGGGCTATTGATACAGAAATAGAACTAAAGGTGGTTTTTTTCCCATCATTGTCTCAAACAGTGAATAAGAGAATAAAGTTTCATATTTAAAGTGAAATGAGGATGCAAATTGATCTTAAATATTTTTATCTGAAATTAGTGTTAAGGCATGTTTCAGAATTTCTAACAAAATTGTATAGTAACACAGCAGCAAGTGAAAAGCAATGTGTGTTCCTCAGTCTTCCCTGACACAGCTTTTGCCACTGCTCCTCCCTCACTGCTGTAGGAGCTTATACTAAATCATACTGTCTGTTCTGTGGCTTCTGAATGTTTCAGCTGGGTGTCTCTGGCTTATCTGACATCACCTCCTTGCTTTTTAGAGCCTTAAAAACATAATTCTACGTATTGGTGCCAGTGGATAACTTAATCATTATAGCTGGCATCTGTGAACTCTTTGGTGATTTCCTAATTACCTGGTTTTTCCAAAGGCTGTTTCTGACCCTTTGCTGTGTCTTTTTAGTGAGAAGTAGCTCTAAATTACCGTTCCTCACTTCCCAAAAGAATGAAATGGATTCTTTTCTTCTGAAGTCCTCTCACTTCCCCGAGGTGTTGTACGGTCGCTGAAAACACGGGGAAAGTTGCACTGATTAAAACAACTTGTTCATTGCTACATATTATGCTGTAGCTTGGAACTGCATTGTGTTCTCTGTGTTTTGGTGGTGCTGGTGGTCTTTAAATTAAAAACAGACAAACAACAATGAAAGCACACATCCCACTTCCTCCCTCCCCTCCAAAAAAAGAAAGAAAAACCAAAAAAGCCCCCTTCTGCTCCACTGATCTGACCATTAGACACAATTCACTCTTAACAAAAAAATTGTGATTGATAGATGGAATCTTTTTTTGTCAGATGCCCCAGAAGTTTCAGTAACTGGCTATGATGGAAACTGGTTCATTGGAAGAGGGAACGTTCAGCTCAAATGTAATGCTGATGCAAATCCATTACCTATGGAATTTATGTGGACCAGGTAAATATTTATATGAAGGGACTTGCCACATGATTCAAGTGGTATAATTGCTTAGCTTACAGTAAATGCATGTTTTGAAAACAAAGAGTATATGACTTATATTGGGTTGTAATGGTTTTATCCAGCCATTTAAAAGGAGAATACAAGATATGTTTATGTATGAATATGGGTGGGTAGATATCTTGTAAATTTACATGCCTGAACAGTTTGTCATTACTCTCAGGGTAAAGTCTCTTTAGTTACTCAAAGTAGACTAAATTGTGTATGCTGCAGCATGTAGAACAAAGACCAGTGAGTCTAGTAGGGATCCAACTATTTTTTATTAGTTCTCTTTTATCGTCACTGAGAGTAGATTGTAAACACTGGAACAGACTTTTCTGTATCTGCATTTTAAAATCTGAAAATTACAGTTGAGATGGCTTACTGAATTACAGAATTTGTCATGTTTTTCAAAGTGCTCAAGTAGTTGCCAAGTCAGATGAATCCATCGTGATGGAAACTAGGTCTTGAGCACGTGTCTAGTAAAATAAGAAATTGAACATAGCAGCCACACTTCAGGAATATATCAATTAGATGGGTCCTACTCTGAAGTGTACTGCTTCCCTTTTGCAGCCATGGCTGTACTTTGTGCAAGAGACAAAGGAGGACAATAAAAGCAAGCACAGATAAAAGACTTTCCTGTGAAGAAAAAAAAAAATAAACTCAGCCCTTTTAGATTTACTTGCTGCCTGTAGAAAAGGAAATAACTTTCCTAAGGATAGTGTGAATTTGTGTGTAACTGTTATAGTGGCTTCTCTTGATAAATATTTGGGAATATATATTTATTTGAAGCTGTAATCAATTTCCCTACCTTCTCAATGGTGGATATAACTTAATGTAGAGGAAGAGTAGTCATGACGTGAATTGAAAATGTTGTATTGATAAGTCTGGAGTTGCTTGATAACAGTATTGCAGGAAAAGAAAACATTACTGTAACTGACTCAATCCTAAAACCAGCCACTGAAATTTCCAGAGTGGCATGGCTGTGCTAAACTAACTTTAGTGAAATGTGTGCTTTACCTACTGCTACAGTAGACTGCCATCCCCATCCCAGGCTTAGCTCAAAATCAGCGTGGTGAGAAATTTCAACACATAAAAATTCTTATGTTCAGAAAAGCTTGCCAGGCTTTCAGCTAAACAACAGTACCACTTGTTTCTTCAGATGCACTGGGTTCTCAGTTCTCTCATTTGAATTTGAGACATATGTAAAAACTAATCACTACTATCTCTGTCTGAAATTCCAGAAGAAATAAACGTATTTAAATACATTTAAAGCACTTCAAGCTTCAGAGCTGACTTTGATACTTCCTAAGGTTAAAATGGAACCAACTTTTACGAAAAACCTGATTCTTCTGGAATAAAACTGGTGTACCTTTTTGAGCAGGAACAAAACCTATCAAAGAAGCTGCAATATTGGTGCATGAGGAACTTCAAGTGTGTGTGTGTGGGGGGGGAGTAAATCCATGTAAGAAAAGGGTAGCTTGAATCTTTAAGGAACCAGAAAACAACTGTGTTGAATTGTGTGCTGTCTTACTGGTGTCAAATTATAGTAGCTTCTAGAACTACCATACAAAAAAATTGTATCTCTTGAAATCAAAGATGACACTCCACTTGCTGGGATAGTGGTACTTTCATGGTCAGTAATTTTAAAATGTTGAATGTTTGAGAATTTTATTAGCATAGACCTGACAAACTAATTAGCTGTTTTATAGTGTTTCTTGAAATAGATACTTCTGGTAATAATGAATTATGGATCACTTTTATCAGCTTTAATATGACTGAGGCAGTTCTGGGCAATAATCACAACAAAGTAGTAGGAATTTTGTCTTCAACCCACATATGTTGGAGATCATTTTTGCTGTTAACTATGGGGAGGTTTTGGGTTTTTTTTAATCAAGTACCTATTTTAAGGTGTTGGGTAGCTTTTTTTTTCAATGCTGTTTATAAAAGCACACTTTCTAAATGCTTTCAGGGTACTGTGATCTGGTGAGCACATGTTTGCATATTGATTTAGGCCTGGTTAGCTGTTAATAGATATTTAGATAAAACATGGGATGCAATGGCATTGAAATTACACAGGTGTTTAATGGGCAGTTGGGAGCTCTGTTAAAATAGTTTCAGTGCTTTTGCCCTTTCCCCTTTCTCATCATGTTTACCCAGTTGTTACTGCAATCTCAGGCAGAGTGGTACAGGGAAATGATAGAGTTGGAAAAGCCAGTTGACCAGAAACAAATTTTTTTTTTAACCAGTTGTTTCTCCAAATGTTCTCCACATTCTGTTTCAATGCTGTAATTTGGATGGAGAGGTGATGAGGGATGAGAAAAAGCAGGTCAAGAGAGGGGGAAACTGCTTGAACTCTTGCTCAGAAATTCTAGTCAAAATGCCCTGTAAATTAAGCATGTATGGACAGAAATATTTATTGTGATAGCTCAACTGGATGCAAAAGAACAGGCAGATAATCCTGACAGCAGTATAAGTGCTTCTTAGTTAGGCTGTTAGAGCTTTTGTTAGTTAGTTTTTAGAGCTTGAGTTGGCTTGTTCCTTCAAGTTCTTTTGAGATAATGTTTTTTAGCTGTAGTAGTCTTCATTTGTAGGCAGCTTACTCGTGCCAGCAGACTTGACATTTAAAGGATTTGGCACAGAAATTAAAAACTAAATAAATGTTCAGGTGTGCACTGAGAACGTCCAAGAAAAGCCCACTGACAATGTCAGAGCACAGTGAAAAGTTCACTTTACAGACTATTACAAATATTATTTTAAACTGTTCTATTTGAACTAGTTGTAAGATTCACATTTGAAATATAACTGTTTTTGTAGGTTGGATGGACAGTGGCCTGAAGGATTGCTGTCTGTCAACAATACTCTGCAGTTCAGCAGCCCATTGACTTATAATTACACTGGGACTTACATCTGTAAGGTGACTAATTCACTTGGTCAGAGGAGTGATCAGAAGACTGTCTACATATTAGGTAAGTCTTACTTCTCAGCAAAGACAGTGTGTTAACTGTGTTTTGGTCAGTGTTGAATTAGCAAACTGAAGAGCCAGTTGATGCATGAAATATTTACACATTTTGTGTGAAAACCTATTTGAAGTATGGATTTAAGAGCTGTAATACAATTTGGAATAATTAATAATTAAAAACATGTAGTAGAAATTCTTAAAGTTGAGGTACTTCTGAAATTATTACTTTCTCTTGGTAGGTGAACTGAGATTTGTTTCTTACAGTGTTAACCTGTGTTTGATGAGATATATTGACAGCAATAAAAACAGCACCTTGTCTGTAATAAATTGAAAAAAACAGATGTTGTTGGGAGGGGATGAACTACATTTAGGAAAGTCAAAGGTGCTCTTCTTTAAGGAAGTTAGGGTTACGTTCTGAATGTGTTTCACATCAGTTACTCATCTCATTTTCTCAGGATGCAGATATCCAGGAATCATGAAGTTAAAGTATCTCATGCAGAACTTGCTGATCTGCTTAGTATAATATAGCAGGGGTGTGTGACTGTTTAGCATCACTGCTGTTGGAGCCCACAACATTGTATCTGTTAACACAGTGTAATTAATGTTTTACCATGACACCTTCTTTGTGAAAAAACAGCATGACTTATGGTATATGTGAATGGTGCCCTACAAGTGTGAAAAAGCTCTCCAGGTTTCCATAATGGATTAGGAAAATTAGCTAATACGTAGCTTGATCAATAAATGTTAGTGTCATTTTTATAAGGAAGATAATACAAACATGAAAATTAAAATCTTTTCAATAAGTTATTGACATGTGCTGTTTCTATAAGGGAATTAAGTGTCAGAGTGCATGCTGGCATGGATACAAACATAGATGACTCCTTAGTAAGAACTTAATATGAACACTTAAGAGTGGAGATGAGAGTGAGAACTTGAAACTAAAACTTAAGGTCCAGGATGTTTGAAGCCACATCTGTCAGAATTCATTTTTGATAGTTGTCTGCATCTTTAAAACAAATGATGGAGTTGCAGTCACACTGACATACTAGCTTTCCACAATGACCTACATTGTAGTTCAGTTCTAATTAACTGCCTAGTTAATGACCTAGTTAACGGGAAACTTCTAAGTAGTTTGAGACAGTGGAATTATTTGTAAACAACTTCATAGCTAGAATTTTTTACACCTTTTATATATAACTTTTTTATATAAGTTAAAAGATTTCAAGTTATGAAAGTTACTTTGGTGAGAAGTTACTTTTGGATGCTTGGTTCTAATTCTGCTTCTATGAAGAATTCATTGCTGCATAGAAGTCTCAAAACAGTAACAAAGACTGGCATGTTTTGAGAAGTATCAAGTAAAAAAATTCAAATATCATCATTAAATAGGGTGAAATATTTGCCTGGATTGTAGCATTGAAATACACTTACTCAGAAAATAACAGTACAGTTCATAGCTGTTTTCAGCCCTATTCTAATTCTCAGGAATGGGGGAAGTTTTTTCAGGTGCACCACTTTTCAAGTTGTCAGTTCTGTGAATATCATCTGCTGTAAGTAGAACTCATGCTTTTTACCATGATTGTCATGCAGGAAGATATAAGACCATCATTCAAATTATGTTTGCAACTAACAGACCAAAATAGGCCAACCGGGAAGTCATGTATGGTGTTTCCTAAAATGAATCAAGTTTTTGAAAAGCAGAAAAAGCATATAGGCCAGTTGGGCTGTGGTGACAACTTGTGTTGTAGCCCATGGCAAATGTAACAGAGCTTAATAAGCTTACTGCAGAGATAGTTAAGCTGCAGTAGTTGATCTTTGATGTGAACTGATGGATACTGTTTACCATAAGCGCTGCTTTTCAGCTTTGTTCAGCAACTTTGTTTTGCTGCAGTGATTTACTTACAATTAGCAAACCTTAACTGGTTTTAGGGAGCACCAAAACTGAACCTCAGCTGGCTAGAAATCATACAGTCATGGTTCTCCTAGTTAAGTGCACCAGTAACAACAAAACTTTAGTTGACATTAAATTAATTTCAGTTTTTTAAAACCTCATGTTGATCATGCTACCAAACTGATTAAAACCACTGTGTATTAACTTTGCATATATAGGAGAGTTGATAAAAATGAGAAAGGTGGGGCAATCATAAGTGTAACACCTATGTTGTTTTCAGAAAGTAATATAAAGCACATTTTGTTGTAACTCTTAAGAATAACTTTTCATTGTGATTGGCTCTTTAAATAGCTGAAATGCCCTTAATGGTGCAGGATGGACAAGTAACTATGAAATAATCTTACCACCTTTAATATTTGACTTAACTGACGAGGTATCCAGTAATGGCAAACATGGCACTGCTGCACCATGAAGCAATGAGCAATAACATGACATAAGCAATTAGCTTATTTTTCTATCTTTACTTTTATCTAATGTATAAAACTTGGTATAAAACAAAAGGGAAAGCTTGAAGCTAGTGGGCAAAGCTGTGTCATCACACTATCTTTCAAATTTTAATTGTAAAGCTGTCAAAAAGGATTTATGATGTTAATGCTTCTGAACAGTCACGATGCTGGTAGTTAAGTTTTTTTTAACTGCTAGCAAAAAAATATCTCAAGTTGAAATCTGTTGTAGGATTATAATGTAAGCTGAGCAAAAAAAATTACCTTTGGTCCTGATATTCATTGTTAAAAAAATAAAAATGTATTTTTAATAAGTTTTGTTGTACTCCTAGACTTTGTTAGTACTCTTAGAGTGGAATAGGGAAATAAAAGAGAAGTTGATAACTGGCTAAATGGTAAAATCACCAGTTTTTATTTACTGGAGATAATACATCTTTACAGGGATAGAGAAATACTCAAATGTTATTTGAAGACAGACTTTTTTTATATTGCTTTTAAGGCACTGATATCTTTGCTATTTTTCACTCATTCAGTGATGTAAAGTTAAACTTCCTGTGTAGTTTTCAAGCAAAAGCAAGTCATGCTTCTCATGGGGTTCAAGTGTTGAAGTTCTGGATGTAGTCCTCCTGTAGGTTTTTCAAAACAAGCTGTCAGCTTGATATGTAAAGCACTTCCTCTTGCAATATTGATTTACTCAGTTTTCTTATGCGGGGAATTGAATTTTGTTTTCTTGGCTCTGTGTTCCTTCACCTTCATACTCTTTACTGAGGCCTTTCCTTTCTCCACTTGCAAGGCAGAAGTGACCTGTGAGACTTGCATTCAGATAGGAACCTGCTTACTTCCTCAGACATGACTGCCTTTGAGAGACACTACTTTTGTTAAAAGTAAAGCCAGCCTTTGTTAGCCAGCAATCCTGGGAAGGTGTGGTTTGTAAGTACAGGGTCACCCTCTTGTAGAGTGGGCATTGTCAGGATTAACATAGGAGAGGCTGATCCTCTGTTTTACTTTTGTTTCTCCATAAATAAATCTCTGTTCTGAGAGAGCATTGTGAATTCAGGCACTCGTTTATTTTCTAATGTACAAACTGCCTTTTTTTTTTTCTGTTGTGTAGCAAAGGACTTCCCAGGATATTCTGACTGTTAACTTTCTTGCTCCCTGGTATGGCATGCTTTGAAAGTTTAATGGTCTTCCTGAATGTTCCTTTGTGCTCAAGCTTATGTTAATGATAAGTTTCTCCTGTATCTCAAAGAAATACCAAAGTCTTCTATTTCATGTGTGGAAATCCCAGCTAGAAACTACAAAAGTACTCTGAGAGTGGATGATGGATGAAAGAAATTGATGGTACCTGTCTCCATATCATGCTGCCAAAATAGACGTGGGGGCACATACACTGAAAAATAATCTAAAGGGAAATGTCTATGAAGACTCCAGTGGAGTCTTCACAGGTGTGGACAAGAAACTGTGGGGAGAGGGTTACACAGTGTCCTCATCTATTTCTTGACTTTTAGAGTCGCAGTGGTTGGAGAAAGAATGATAAGTTTCCACATCAGTTCTTCTTGGACATTTCTGAGAACCTCCTCTGATGGAAAAGCAGCTTTCCCTGCTGTTACAAAGGAGTTGCTATGTAAGCTTTTCAGCAGTTGAGAGAAAGGGTTGTTTTTATAACACCCAGCTACACTAAATTATTATTCAGTTTTTAAGTACTTGCCATGTAAGTGAAATTTAGCAACAACAGCAGGTTAAGAAGCAAAGGTTAATATGTCTCTGTGCAAACATACATGTAATGCAGGTACAGACAGATACTTATCACTTAGGAAAATGACAAGTTCAAAGAGATCTTGTAATTTGTGCAAAGCCAACTCAATTTTGGATTATAAGTAATTGATAGCAGGTCCTTGGCAAAGAAAAGGATTTTTGCACCTTGAATCGTGTGGGGTTTGTGTTTTTGTTTTTGGTTGTTTTGGGGTTTTTTTTTTCAAATAAGAACTACTTTTAGCCACTTTATTGTGACTTTTGGAACTAGGTAAACTTTGTCTATATTAATTCACAACAACTATCCAAGAAACCTTTCCTTCCAAAACTACTTCTGTAATGCTTAACTGACATTTTAACCAAAGGAGATGTGTGCCAGTATTGAATTATCTTACCTATTATAGAGCTGGTCACCTTACCTCTGAATTATTTCATAGTGGGCTAAATCCAAAATGATTTATAGTTTAAAAATATTGTGTGATCTAGTTGATTTTCTTAAAATGATGTGCTTGTTGATATTGATACCAAGACAGGATTTAACCTAGGATTTTTAAGCTAATGATCTGGTTCAAAGGATGCTCCATCCATTTCTTTTCACATTCATCTTTCTGACACTTGGCTTGTTGTTGGCTTTGACTTACCACAGAAGCAAAGGTGGGTCCTCATTGTTCAAGTGTCTGGGTACTTCAGGGGGATTGAAGTGGGAAGATGGGGTGTTTGGGACATGACATATGTCGTGTTAATTGCATGTCTTTACTGAAATTAATTGTAGAAACTCACCTTCCCGGGCAAAGTTGTTTGTACTGTAAGAGTTGAGAAAATGATCAAGAATAGTCATTTAAGGAAAAAATAAAATTATCAGACTCACGCTGTTGAAAGTTGGTACTGTCTTTTATTGGAAACATCTGGAAAAACAATTAATAGAGGAAAAACTAAGCAGTGTACAAGGACCATGGTGCTTTAGTTTGATGTGGTATTAGACTTTCATTTGAAGTGAACAGCAAGTCTTGCTTTACTTGGCAGAAAACTATGTCAAAAGCTTTGAAGCCAAAACTTGGCTTCTTTATGTGCATGGAGTGAGTTGATTGACTTAGTATATTGATACTAGAAAACTGGTTTTTGCTTTCCTCGATTGTGTCTCTTGTTTTAATGGGGATGATAGCTATGGAAAAGGAGAAGAAATTTTGTGGGGGTCTTTGCTGGTCCTCATTACTACAGGGCATATGTAATAAGGATGTGAACAGAGCCCAGAACAATAAGAAAAAAAAACTAAAATCAAGATGCATTTAACTTAAGCCCAAATATTTTTTAGAATTTATGCCACTTTTAGCTCCCTGACCTGCATGGACATTTTAGTGTGTTGTTCTAGTTTGTGCAGCAGCATGAGCCTGCATCAGTGAAAGCTGTTAAACATTGGGTCCTAAGTAAAATGTGGGAAATAGTTGCTTTTGAATCAAGTGCCATATGAAACAATTAAAAAGAAAATTTTGTGCTCAGTGTTCTGTAAAAAGCATTCAGAATTCAAACATCTATTGGTGATTATGTGAAGTATTATAATTAAACAGCTTTCTGATATGAAAGAGTATTGTCTTTCATACCAACAGACAAGAGTGGCATTTTCTTGATTTGGAGATAGCATTTGAGATGTGATTTGCAAGCAAAATATTATGGAGTAGACATAAAAACTTTGTCATTCCTGATCTTACTGTTCTCTGTTTGGGAAACCTGCTTGGTGTACAGGAAGTGAAAAAAAAAAAAACGACTTAAGTTTTACGTTTAAAAAACTTTGGGTGACATCAGTAAACTTCACTTGTTCTTAGTTGTAATTGACCTTTTAAACAAGAAGGGACAACTTTATTTTGTCATTCTTCAAACAGTAAGAGGTATGGACACAGACAGTACAGGTGTAATGGTTATATATATTCTAGGAATGCATAAAAACAAATGCTTAATTTAGCATACATTTGCAATTAATTTAAGATTAATGTACTAAATAGTTCTTTTAGATAATGCAACTGGACAACCTGAAAACTGGTGGATGAATCAGAAGTTAAGGAAAAGCTTTTGTAAAACACTATTTGTTTGTTGCATTTTTTTTATTTTTTTAGTATATTCAGTGTAATTACCACTGTGCTTACTTCATGTATGTGATGATTAAATTTGCCAGGATGCAAGTACTACATACTTGTGCATGTGGAAGATGGGACTTAAAACCTCACTGTCAGAGGGAAATAAATGAGCAATTGCAAAGCCAATTTAAAAAAAAAAAAAAAGGCATAAATAGAGCTAAAAAATCTTGTGTCTAAAGCAAATACCTTTTCAAGGAAGTGGGATTTGAGTTTATCTTCTGGATTTATGGATGTGTGGGACATGGAAGCCTGGTAAACTTGGATTCCTTAATCTCTACTTCTTTGTTAAATTATCAAACTTACTTTAAATCAGTTTTTACTAAAATCAAAATCTGAATTCCTCTTGTTCATTTTGATAGTGCATCCTTCTTGTTCAGTTTTCTGTCTTCTGTCAAATTAATTTCATTTACGTATAGCTCCCTAACAAATCATCACTTTTACATAGCAAGTAATGTAATTATGCATTTTAAAAACCTGTATAAAACTTTACTTATTGTGTGAAGCTTAAAATATTGCATTAAGCAGTGAGATGCACTCTGAAGATGTGTAGTGATCGTGACAAATGTGACGATTCTGTCTGCTATGAGAGAATTGCATGTCTGTCTCTGAGTAGTAAGATGAAAAATCATATTTATGGCTATTTGTGATTTGTCAAATAATTGGAAGCCTGACAGATCTCTAGTTCTATCTGGTTTACTTCTTGTGGTGTTAAATCTAGGGTGCCTCTAATATGGTGGTAGTAGTAGTTCCATGAGTCTTGCTTATGGGCATTTAAATAAATAACATGGTATAATGAGCTACTTGGCTGTCCATGTAATATTCTCTCTAAAAGGTTCAAGCTATAATAACGTGTTTAGTGTTGCTTTATTGATTTTTAAAATAATTAGCTTGCATTGGGCAAGGCAGAAAGTAGGTTTTTTTCAGTGTGGCACAGAAATAAGAACTGGAGTTGCATAAAACATTTGTGATTGACTGGTATAATCTCAGGAGGCTTTCTTGGTGTCATCAACCCATCACTTGGAACCTTGTCAGCAATACAGATGCATACATCTCCAGCAGACCTAAAGAACAAAGGAAAAAGCCGTGTGCTGGACAAGTGTGGTAGCTGGCAGTCTCTTGTTTACATACAAAACCTGACATGAAATCAATTGGTATTTTATACTGAAGAATGAATGTGGAAATTTCTTTGTGTATGAGGCATCAAATTGCTTTTAAGAGGAATGCATAGAAATAATTTTTACTTGAAATGTTCTGGGTTTTTATTGTTATTTTAAAAACCTCAAGGCTCCTTGCTCAACATAAGAGTTACTTTGAGATTAATACGTGCCATTTTTAACTATGCTTCTTTCACTAATCCCAAGGTGAGGCTGAGTAAGTTGTATTAATGAAATAAATGTTTTTGGAGAGATTAGCTTAAAAATCAGTAGTTCATGCGTTGCTGACTGAACACACAACTCATAGTTTTTCATTCTTATACTTAATGCCCTGAACAATTTCTGAAGTGGGAATTTAGTGTGGAATAATTGATTCTGTGGCATAATCAGTTAATTCGATCCAGTATTCCTAACTGCTGGATGGAAAGTTAGAGGACTGCTTGGGTTTTTCCTCCATGAAGGAGGTAAATAACGAATGAACAGTCAACATCTGAGCAGAAAACCTGCATCTCCTTACTTTGAGGAGGGCAAAGAGTCTATTTGAAGATGATTTTTATTTTGTTTACTCCCTGTACTTTCTATCCTTCTGCAGCATAGCTCAAAACTGCATTTGATAAAGCTAGTTCAAAGCCTGTGGAAAATGTTAGACTTTTCATAGTGCCATGAACTTGAGAATGAAAAACTATTCTTGTAGAACATACCCATCAACTTTGCTTTCTTATAAACCCTTAACTGATTTAGCTTGCATTGACATTCTGTGCCTTTTCTGTGTCTTGTCTACTTCTTTGCTCTTTCCATTAGATCCTCCTACTACTACCACTCGGCTGCCCACGGTTCCCTGGCATCCTTCGACTGATGGCATCACAGGTTTAGCAACACAGCCTAGAATAATAGATTTCCCAACATCAACCTTGCCAACAATGCAGGACGACTCTTGGGGTACCATCATCGGTTCTGTGGTGGGTGGGCTTCTTTTACTCTCACTTCTCAGTATTCTGGGTGCAGTTCTCTGCTATAGGAGAAGAAAGACGTTCCGTGGTGACTACTTTGCTAAGAGCTACATTCCACCATCAGATATGCAGAAAGAGTCTCAAATAGATGTTCTTCAGTCAGATGATGTGGATTCTTACCCTGACAGTATAAAAAAAGAAATAAACCATCCAATGAACATAATATCTAAAGATTATTTAGAAGACCCTGAAAAACCTGAGTTGAACAATATAGACAATACTAACAGGTACCAGGAACGTTATGAAAGACGAATGGATTACTATGAAGGTGGAACATATGGATTGAGTTTTATGGCTGGTGAATTATACGATGATGAGGACTTTGTTTCTCACTTAGATGGCGCGGTAATATCTCGGAGGGAGTGGTATGTGTAGTAACCACTGAAAACTAAAGGTGTATCTGCAGTTCATTTCATTGGCTGGTCACTTTCAGATTGTTTATACTTAAACAAGAGAGGAGGAATAAACTTTTTGAAACTGAATTTTTTTTTTTTTGAAGGTTTTTATATTGTAACTTGACACAATGAAATACTGAATCTGGGGAAAATGTATTTGAGCTGCTTTTTTTTCCCAATGCTGTACTACTGTTTAAAATTGGAGTTTTAATGCAGAGTGCTTATATTGCTCTATGTCAGAGGTAAAAAAAAAAGGCTAAATTAAAGTTCCCATTCAATATTGTTTAAGAATAAAAAGTGGCTGTCTTGGTTCTCTGATTTAAAAGGAAGTTTACCTAAGTCCAGTGATCAAATATAATCTTCTGGGGCTTTGAATTATTCCAGTGTAGGTACTATCCATGGTAAACTTAATACTTCTATATAGCAAATACTTTACCAATTAAAATAAGTTACAGCAGAATTAAAGCTTTATTTTTTAGGTTTTTTTTCTGAATAAAAACGAATACCTCTTAGCATTTCAATGAGCCTTCTTGTAACTATATACTTAAAAGTTAAGTCATTGCACTGAAACTAACTTATGAACAAAATTTTGAGGAGTAACTGTAAACAGGTCAAAGGCTTGTATTTGAATAAGATGAAAAGTTATTTTTTTATAGTCATTGATTTCTAAAGCTTATTCTAGTGTCTGTATATACATACAGTAAGGTATTTTGTTAGGCCTGTAATTGGCAGGATGTCAAAACTCATTAACGCATACAAGGTGCTCTTTGCAAGTACACAGGGTGCAATTTTTGAGACCTGTTCCGGAGGCTATGTGGGAATCTTACTGTTGAATTTGAAAGCTGGAGAATTGGGCACAACTAAGGAGAATTATATAGATTCCGAAGCTGGAGGCTAATGTGAATTTGCTTATTTTCCCAGGTGCCAAACAAGTTAAGAGTTTTTATGACCAGAGGTTAAAACAGCGGTTTTACGCTGCTTCCGAATAAGTTACAATGCTTGCTTTGAAGAGGGTAACTAGTTTCAGATTATTAGTAGGGAAGTGGACACTTGCACTGCTACTTCATTTGTTGAAAACACACTCTCCAGTGATGCAACTACAGAATCTATGAAACAGGAATTCTGATGACTTGTGCGGTCTCTGTACTGCAGTGGATTTGTTTTCCCTGCAAATAATCAATACTGATTTAACAACATGTTCTTGTTCTTTCCAATGACATTGTATCCATTATATGTAGGACATCTTGTTTGACATCTGAAGTAGTTCTACTTTGTCTTGAGCAGATTCACCAGACTAAATCTGCTGATTATTTAGGGAGGAATGAAAAAACTTTAGAGGAATTACAGAACAATGATAAATTCATACTTAGAATAGTAGATCTTTTGAAGTGCCATTTTTAAGTGTTTAGCTTAAGGAAATTGAAGCTGATAAGGCTATTAGTATTTGGAACCTGAAAAGGGAAAAGTCTCTGCTACCTTTGAGGTGAAATAGGCTGCATTATTACAGCTGCTTCATGAGCATTCATGTTGGAAGTTCTTTTCTAGCCTCACGATGTTTGGTAGCTTTACAGCATTTAGAGCTTCATGAACATAGTTGTATTGAGCGTTGTAGACAATACACTGTGATTGCATATGACTGCATGTCTTCAAAAAAGATTAAGACAACAGCTTTATTTGAAATTCCAATGGAAAAGCATCCCTAAACAACTTAAGTTTGTGTTTGGATTAATGGAGTACTAATACACGATTGACCAAAGTCTCAAGAATGATAGCAAGTGGTTATCTGTAGTTTGGGTGCAAACACAAGGAAAAGAGTTAAATTTCTAGCAGAAGGTTCTGATCCAAATTATTTCTGGAATAAAGAGATTATACCTCTCTTCAAATAAAAATACTTGATATATCATCTTTAAAAGATGGTGTTACTTTGAAATAAACATTAACCATAAACCAGTTTTCCACATGGGATATCTTGCTTTTGTCTCTGTGGATTTTTTTTTTGCTTTGATTTTTAAAATATATATATGTTTAATTCCTATGGGTTAAGAAGTTGAAATGTTCTGGAATTGAAGTTGATAACACGGATAGGGCTTACGCGTGTTGCAATGTTTTGTACATTATGTCTGCTGTAAAAAGAATTGATTGTAAGTACAAATGGCTGTTGTGTGAATAAACTTTTTGTTACATTCTGGAACATAGGTAGTGTTCAAAAATGTTTCAAAGGTATGTTCTTAAAAATTGAAGACAGAAAAGCACAATAAACACAGAGGCTGGATAGAATGAACTGAAGTGTTTAAACTGTTTAAGATGGGCTTTTTAGCACTTCCCCTTGTAGACCCTAAGCTTATAAAACAAGTGTCTTCAGGAACTATTTTAAGAAGATAAGAGAATGATAAATGGAGATAGTTGCTGCCAAACAATTTCACTTAAAGCATAGCTGATCCACTATCTAGAAATTGCCTGCTTTAAAGGAAAAACTCATTTTTTTCATTCTTTTGTTTTTGGTTACTGTAGCTCTGCTTTAACTGTATTTCTTGGAGTGAATCAATTCCCATCTATTTCTGACCAACTGGTAGTTAAAATGCTGCACCATGGATCTTAGGTGCTCTCTAGCTTCTTCACCTTGGCATGGTAGTCTGGGTTTCTGATCATTTTCCTGGTTGGGCTGATTAAATTTTTGTGCCTCCATTTTTGCCAAAGCAAAATAAGAAAGTAAATTCAGTGTGCCCTGTGGTAATTACACTTCAGTTCCTGTGTGTTGTTATTCTTGCTGTGGGATATCACTATTTTTATTGGTGTTCAGAAGCAAATGGGTGGTTGTTGTCTCACGCAAAATGAGATTCAATGGTTGGAGTTTGATTGAAAGTATAATGCTCTGTGGTGTTTCAACATTAGAACAGAATTTACCAGAAAAAAAGGCACTGTGAAGTTAGTATGAAACAGTCAAGAAACTCTTCTGGTGTAATCACAAGGCCAAAGCCTCTTTGTGAATTCTGGACCTAACAGCGTATATTAGTTACTTGTGATTTTTCTCACTTAAAAGAAGTGGGTACCCAGTATAAACTAAACCTAAGCCAATTAAAAGGCAGTGCTTAGGTGGGTCTTCCACTGATTCATAGGATTTATGTTTCTGTTGTGGTTTAAACCCAGCTGGCAACTAAGCACCCCACCACTGCTCACTCACCTCCCCTCTCTCCCCACCACCCTGGTCAAATGGAGAGAAGAATCAAAAGTAAAACTTGTATGTTGAGATAAGAACAATTTACTATTTGAAAACAAGGTAAAATATTAAAATTATAATAGGAAATAATTATGATAATCAAAAAGGGGAAAGAAACCCAGACAAACAAGTGGTGTGCAGTACTGTTGCTCCCCACCTGCTGACCAATGCCAGATTCCCTCCCTGAACTCAGAGTGGCCTCCCTTCTGGGTAACTTCACTTGCTTACATACTGGGCATGATGTTCTGTGGTTTGGAGTATTCCTTTGGCCAGTTTGGGTCACTGGTCCTAGCTATGCTCTCTCTCAGTTTTCTTTTGTGTACCTCCTCTGAAACACACACACACACACAAAAAAATAGTCCAGCACAAACCAAAACATGAGTGTGTTATCAACATTATTGTCATACTGAATCTGAAACACAGCACTGTACCAGCTACTGAGAAGAAATTGAGTCTCTCCCTGCAAAACCAGGATGGTTTCCTGGTGTTCAGCCTGGTATCTGACACAAATGGAGCTTATGCCAAGAAATCTGTTATGTAAACTAGAACAATGATCACTGAAGGCAGTATGTTAATTAATCTTGTTAATTAATTAGCTTCTGCAAGTTTTTACTGCATGACTTTATTCTGTAACTTTAAGGAAGTCACAAAAAAAAATCTTAGTTTTATTCAAGCTTAATAAATACTCAAACATCCCTTTGTGAGTGTGATCCCAGAGTAGTATTCCTATTGCATCTTTCATATGCAGTGAGAGGACAGGAATCTCTTTTTTAGATTCCAAGTTCAATGTTTTGGGTTTTGCTTTTTAAAGAGAGATTATTCTGTCCAGCTTTTCAGCATACAGGCAGAACAACATTAGAATTTTGAGTCATTGATAGAACATATTGAATATTTCAAGGGGTTTTTTTTCCTGTGAATAGAACATACAGCTGAAGAGGCTCTCAAAATTTCCTCTGGTAAGAGATTAAATAGAGGATGGTCATGTCTTGTTTGGAAAACAGCTGAAGTAGGTTGCTTTAGAAATATGTTGAGGTATAGAACTGTGTTAATTTTGAAATTCTTTGCTGCTACCCTTTCTGATTTGGTCTTCAATGTAGATCAGAGCATTATTTAATGTGTGCTACCTATATTTTACAGGTAAGAGTTTTAGTGCATCTAATATGAGCTATTCCAATTCTGCAACTTTTTGATGAGCCTGTTGATCCAAGTTTGAAATAACTGGGCTTGATGATTTTAAATCAAAATGCTAGCAGGTTTTTCAGTTTTGAGACTTAAAACATTCAATTCCAAGCATAGTGAAAGGAGTGACCTTTAAAGACTGACAAGTGTGTTAATTTAGTATGAGAGTTGTTAAACGTCGGATTTGACAATGCTAAGGTCAAACAAAAAATGCTTTAGAAGGAAAAAGACACTTGTTTTTCCTTCCCTCCATATTAAAATTTATTTATGAAAATTACTTTCTTGTAGCTTGAAGTGTGAAGTGCTAGAGATGATAGGTGGCCTTAGTGGTTGGTTTTATAAGTACAAGCCAAGTAGTTAGTAAGTTTGCATGTTCATTGCTCCTAGTAGTATATCTTTTTTTCTCCTGATTTTATGTTTCCCTTTTTGCTTTCTGCAGACTTCGATGTCTTTAAAGAAAGATTGCCAATAAAGCCATAGTTGTCTAGGTTTTTGAATTAAAACCTTGTTAGCTCATGCAAGTGCAAAGCATGTGTTCTGTAACATCATCTTGCCTTGAAATGAAAAATAAAAGGATGCAGCTACTATTTATTAAAAGTAGTCAATGACACTTTTGAAATCAGGTTATGATTTCATTAACTGTCTTAACCAGTTTTTTAGCTTAGTGAGTGGAGCCAGAACTGCAAGAGTGCTAGTGCAGGACAAGGCTTTCTGTTTGGTGGTAGAAGGAAGAAACATTTCTCAGAACAGCTGAACAAGCTGAAGTAGCTTATCTGAGTATTGAAAGGATGTGATCTTCTTAAAGGTGTAATCTGTGCTATCACATTGCAGATGTGCCATTTAAGCAGACATCTTCTGTTGCTGTAGCAGGGGCTGTGATTGGGGCAGTCCTTGCTCTTTTTATCATTACCATCTTTGTGACAGTGCTGCTGACCCCGAAGAAAAAAAGGCCATCCTATCTTGACAAAGTGTGAGTATGTGTTGGAATATTTTTTTTTGTTGTTCAATTGAAAGTAATATATAGAAAGCATTTGTTTTATACAGGAATGTAAATGTCTGAGTTTACTTAATAGCTATTCAGCTGTCATGATTTTAAGGCTGTATTTTCAGAGTAGAAAATATGAAGGGTTTTTTTTGAAAGAAAATTTATAGATTTAATTGAAGGGCAGGGGAGAGTTCCCTCCTGACTGATGCCACAGACTACTAGTTTGCTGTACCTGTGGGTCTAATTTGAAAGCAGATTGACCATGCTTTGCAGAAGTGAAGGCCTGCTAAGATTTATTCCAATATATGTGTAAAATTAAGCAAGCACCCACAGACCTGTACTTAGAAATGACTGACTTAACATGCTTTCTAGTTGTTTCTTCAAGTCTCTGGTGCAGACAGGTGATTTACTTTTTTGAGCATCCAAATGGTCAAACAAAAAAGAAGCAAGCAAAAAAAAGTCTGAAAGGATTTTATCAGTTAAAGTGGATGATGTTTAGACCCTGTTTGGAACATGCATAAAAGGTGACGATGGCTTTAAATATCTTTAAATACAAGTATTTTTGCGCATGCAATATACAGTAAACACTTAATGAGAAATGAAAATGTCTGTCATGTCTGTATATATACTTAATGGGGAATAGAATTAAATAACTTAGAGCCTTTAGCATAAAATAAGTTTCCTTGTTTGCATTGAGCTAGCAAGATGAGTCAAGTGTTTACTTCTGAGTAATTTCTAACATGGTTAGAAATTCTGTTTTCTTGTTTGTTTGTCTTAGGTTCTGTAGCTGAAACATATTTATATGAACAGTCTTAAACATTTAAATTCCTTTAGAATCATTTGCTTTCACTGAGAATGTTACAATGGAAAAAGTCTTGCATGCAATAATGGATAGTAAGGCTTTCTCAAAGGCTTTTTAAAGACAGGCTGCAGTTAAAAATGTTACTCAAGCTGTATCTCATAACCTAGAAAACATGATAGATAACGGTAGTTCCTAACCCTACTTAGTTGGAGTGTATGGGGAGAGGTTCAGTCCACTTAACCTCTTACAGGGTAAAGAGTGAATTATAGGTGGTGCTTTTCTACAGAAAGTGTGTGGCTCAATGATTACCAGTGGTGGATGTGTTACATTACAATATTTCACGTGTGTCATTGGTGACTGAAAGGTACGTGTCCCTGAATACCGAGTGTTGGGTGATTTGGCACTTAAATAAATAATATCTGACCATTCAATTGGACTTCACAAACATGATGTTTCATATTTGATTCTTTCTTTACTACAGGATCGATCTTCCGCCCACTCACAAACCATCTTCATGTGAGGAGAGAGCATTCTCAGTCCCACAGAAAGAAGCTATGCTTCAGGTAAGTGGTTATATACATCTTAAACTGAGGTAGGGAAAGTGTTAACTTTGTTTTATTATGTTTAATTTAGTCTGAATCTGCTTTCTGAGTAATGTATGGATCCTTTTAGTTGTTTTGCAGCCAAGCTGTTTCTCCACATATATGATATCTGAATCTCTTATTCTTGGTGTCAAAGTCATCCTTAAAGGTCAGGAAGCAGGTAGACAGATCATTTTTGTATCCCTAACAACATTTGACAGACACATCTCCTTTTGAAGTAGAAAAATCTATAGTTGAAATTCCATGGTGATTAAGAGAATATACATAGAATATAAAACAGTCTTCTTGGGGGGGAATATATTTGGTAAACTTTAAAAGTGACTTCATCATCACCTTCCTTGCTTGTAACAACTGACATTCTTTCAAGCTGTTAATATTTGAGTGGTAGGGTTATATTGGAATTTGGGCTTTGGCATAGCTAATTTACCAAAGTATGGGTTTGATTCCTGGTGAAGATCACTAAATCACTTTGAAATGCTTGCAATTATGTAAATTCTAATTTTATCCTTTTTTTTTTTTTCTTGCATTTATGAGCAGCAAAAGATCCTGTACTAAATCTGAGACAAGTACTTGAATTTTTAATATGCTTTCAGGGATAATTTCATGTCATCTAAAGTAACGCTGTCCAAGCAAAACAGCAATAGGCACAAAAGTTCCTTACCAACGTCTAGTGTTTGTGTGG